GGACGAAACTACGAAGTTACGTAACAGACGTGACGTAGGACACGTGAACGTACAATACATACCTACGTTATAAACTTATTAACTTTATTAGCTTAAACGCCTATGTAATATTAATAATGGGTACGGAAAATGTTTACAATAGGATTTACAGTTTGAGTTTACTTCGACATCTATTGCGTAGGTAATAATGGTAGGTATTTAATCTTTTCCCATAATGTTTATTGTATTCAAACTAAGCTATTTTTTACCCTTGACCGCAAATAATATGATACTACTTTTATACAGGGGATATCTACACAAAAAAATAAAATTGAAGTGTCTGTTTGTAATATCAAAATAAAGGCTTTTTTTCATGCTCACACAGTTATTTGCATGATACCTATGCTAAAAAAACCAGTTCAAATATTTTTTACCTGTCTAATTATCTAACTACTGTACTTTTATACAAAGACAAATAAATAAAATGTAAGTGTCTGTCTGTATTATCAAAATAATAGCTTTTTCCATGCTTACACGGTTATCTCCACAATATCCTATGCCTAAAAAACAGTTTGAATATTTTTTGGCTGTATGTCTGTCTGTTTGTTCGGGTAATCTTTAAAACGGCTGGGCCGATTTTGATAATATTTTATTACCAGGTAGCTGTCTATATAAGGAGTAACATAGGCTGTTTTTCCTCTCAGAAAATCCCTATAAATTTTTGATGCTCACTGTTATTTTTTAATAATATGCCTAAAACCAGTTTAAATATTTTTGTCTGTCTGTCTGTTTGTTCCGGGTAATCTTCAAAAAAGCTGGATCGATTATGATAATATTCAGAGATATTACGAAAAGGACAGATAATATTTCAAAGTGGCTTAAAACTAACAAAATTGATAACTGCTGTCAACAAAGACAGCTTGGTTAAAATATTTCGGTGCAAAAAGACTAAACCAGCCAATGATACAGGACTTCAGCCTAAAATACTTTCTTTTTTTTTTAAATATAACTGCATTAGGAACATAGTCTTGTGTCGTGGGAAACTTTACAAACATACATGAAATGGAAACAAACAACACCCTTTTTTCTTATTTTTCCGTAGTCTAGTGGTTAGTGACCCTGACTTTAATAAACTGGAGGTTGTGGGTTCAATTCCAACCCAGGACAAATCAACGTCAACGGACAAATATTGTGTGATGAGCACGGGCTCATCACACAATATTTGTCCGTTGACGTTGTTGTCAAATGACCGTTCATTTGATCTGTGTCTGGGTGTAACTTATCTATAATATGTATCTATTAAAAAATAAATAAGTATGTTTATTAGCAGTTTGATTACCATAGTTTGGGATCAGACGGCCATGTGGGAGATGTGTGAGATATATTTTATTATTATTTCATTTTAATAGTCCATTGCTATGTTTTGGCTTACTATACCACGCTGGCCAAACATATTCTTATAGGGGTATCTTCAAGTTTTCCTTCTCTTTGAAGTGCTGTTGTCCTGCAGTTTGTTCCCTTAGTCAGCTCTTACAACACCCACAGGATGACGAGGGGTGGTGACAGTCTGTATTCTTAATCCGTCACCACACAAACCTTTGTACACCAGAAGCATTTCAAGAGTAAAGTAATGTTGGGTTTCTTGTACAATTGGAGGTTTTTTTTCATAAAGTGTTATGTGTGCATTAATCTATTGCAAGTATCAGTAACTAGATATTCAAATAGTTTATTTTTGTTTTATTTTATGAACTAAATTATGCATGTGTATACATTAAATTAATTACATTAAGTGTGGAAACCAGATATTGTTTCTATTTCTAGTCAGATTCTGATTTTAAAATTGAAATTAAATAATTTAAAGTATTTAAATTTAAAATTATATTTACCTGAGTTAAAATCCAAATAGCCGAGTGATGAATGAATGTCATATTTTGATAAAACTACCCTACTACTACTACTAAAAACCCTAAAAACTTGATTTTTTTTTACATTTCTAATGACAAATTCTTACATAATTTTAATAAATCTAGAAAATCTTGGACATTATTTCTGATTTTATTGGATCATAATAACTTTTTTAAGTTTATTTATGAGCTATTAACTTTTTCTTGATTAACAACAACACAGAACACTAGTACTATAGTAGCATACCTATTAGACATGGAAATTATTGCTACTTTTAAATCATATTCATTTGATGAAATTATTGAGATTTCGTCATAGCCAAAGATAAATGGCATTAAAATCAATCAAAATTATTTTATCGAAGATCACTTTCTTTTATTTAGACCTTTCAAGGCAAGACTCGCTTGCGGTAGCGTAATAATAATTAAGTAGCTGTGGTTTTGTAAGTCAATCACAGGAGTGATAATATAATTTTAAATTAGATGATTTATCACATATGATTGCGATTTTATGCCATCTCTAATACCTACATATTATAGTACATATGACAGAAACTCATAAACATTGAGGTTGAACACTTTGACACTGACAAATCTGACAACTGTTTTTTTTTGCTTGGAATTTAATGACCTGGTAACTAAGACCTTTAAGTCAAGTTTTTACAAACAAATAGTTGACATTTTTAGTAGTTCAGATCTTTAGCGACGAGTGTGACGACTGACGATCAACTCGAGGTAGCTCAAGTTAAGGCTTAGCTTTATTATGATAAATTATTGTACCTATGAATATCAATTGAGCTAATATGTCACGTGTATAGGCACCAGAATAATTAAGGAATACCTTCTGTATGTTACACTTTGTCTTCGACATTTAAAAACGAATCTTATCTTAATAGTTATTTTGACTGTCATTATGGTACCCAGCATATACAGGTGACTTTACATTTTGCCATCCATATTAACACAGAATATCTTTAGTAAAATGTATAAGAAACCCGAATTTTAGTATAGTATCACATGGTTCAAAAATTTTGAGTTTTATCTCAATTATTGTCTCAAGAACTCGCAATTTGTAGACACACTGTACTCGGTAGGTGCGCAAGTGTACATGATCTCTGCATCGGTATCGCATACTTCTCTACATTTCATTGATAAATTAAGTATCCAACATAACCTCCAAATACTGAAAACTTTACTTAATTAAAGGGCACATTTGAAATAAGTAAAAATACATGAACAGTAATTATATATTATTTTAATTATTCTTATTTAAATTATTAAAATAAATTATTTTATTATATAAATTGTAAAAAAAAATGGAGGTTAACTTATCACTACTGTTTTACATGTATTTTTATAAATGTTGTGTTGTGATATGACCATCAATGTTCGTTATGTTGGTTGTACAAATCCACACAAGTAAACAACCTCGTCTGTCCACAAAATATATATTTTTTTAATTTCTTTTTAAAAGACTACTCCCGGCACTGGGGTGTGCGATAAGCCTCTCGCAGAATTGTCGACGAGGTAAGGCCTTTGTTTCTTGTAAGTCTTGGACTTTTTGATAACGGTAAGGGTGCAAGCCAACGGTGTTTACCAGTTTCCAAGGTGCATATTGGATTCGAGGATCCCGTTCAAAGAAGTCGAAGATTTTTTTATTGACCTCTATTACAAGTCTTGACCTTGACGGGGTTCTAAACTGTCTGTAGTCTAACAGCCTCTGATTTGCGGATAAAATCGTTTGGCGGTTAGGCACCGATGGATATACCTTGTCTTCGGAGTCGTGGTATATTTTCCGACTCGTACAAGCGCTGTGCATCATTTAGGCTTTCACCACTACGAATGTAACTACGCACCATTTCGTAATACTCGCAATTAGAAAACGTTATTTCCACTGTCTACGTCACGGAAGAACCAGCGGTAAACACAAAGGATGAATGGCAAGACGCGGCCGACTGACCTATTAATTATTTAATTGTTTGATTTGTAGTTTTTGTACCGGCCGGAGGCCCTGTTTCGCAAACGCCTAACCCCGCCACACCGCGTACCCCGATGCATTCTTTCTCTCACTGTTTTCGTAACTAGCATAAGACTATTTTGTACGGTTGAATTAGTGACCACGCTGCTAAATATTTTCTTCGGGATGAAATAATTTATGTTGAAAATTTGACCTACCATTTTTTGCAAAAGGAGTCCTTAAATAATGTCTAGTGCCTAAAAAATTTGGACGGAAATTATAATTTCACAGTGTATATTTAATTGGCATCACTATTAAATTAACAATATATTCTACATTTACTTAATTTAATTCCAATAAAGAAAAAACGTTAACCAGAAGTAGAAATGTGTATAGCAAGAATAATTCCGTAATTTCACACAAATAATTTAGTCAGCATCGACATGGTATATTGAGTTTACGTAACCCAAGTGTAATTTGAATTTCTTAAGCTGACTGGAGTCACATTTTTTTTCAGTGGTTGCCTCTCTACAAAAGTGTTCATTTCCACAAGGGCACTACTGAACCGATAGTTTAGTTCAGTAGTGTAGTAAGTAAATAGACCGATATTATTGTTTAATTATATTTCGTCTCCTAGTAAAACTTAACGAAAATAGACTTTTGCCCTAAGGGGTATGTTTGTTTACCCTATTCTGGGGGTATAAAACTGTCTTCATAGATAAAATTAACCAATGTTTCCTAGCGCTAAGCCAGTACTGCTGCCGCCTTAGCGCAGTGGCTGGCGCTTAGGTCTCAATAGACGAATGTCTTAATAAAAAAATATAGTTGAAAAATCGACTAGATTACCGTTCTGTCTAATCCTCTATTATATATTAAAACATTTAAATAATAGTTATATATTTATTTTAAAAAATTAAATAAACTCAGCATCATGTGCTCTTACTATAATGTTTTTTTAAAACATGACACCATAAACATTATTTATTGTAACAATAATTATATTTTTTCAAGAATTTCATTAATCGATTATTGTTTGAGTGTTCATCACACTCATGATACGACACGAACAAGATTTCGCAACACTACATGGTATAACCTCAAATTAAATAGTAATTTCGGAATTTGTGGAATAAAATTTGGGAAGAAAAACATAATCAATAATGAATGGCCTAAAATTTGTAAAGAATCTGCCTTTACAATGGCGATCTTTCTCACGATGGTAAGAAACTTTTCTGAGACTGAAATATTTTGGGTTAATGAATTTGATTTTTTACTATAAAAGAGTCTACTTTGAATATTTTAAATTTAAATATATCTTTACTAGTGCCCATAGCAGTGAAAATCTCACTTAACCTCTTACAGTGTGACATTACGTCAAGAAGTTGTACAAGCAGCTGCTCCTCTCAGTATTCCTATACCAGAAGGTATGGATAAGCCAGTATCGGCAAAAATCGAAAAGATAGTGTCAGAGATCACTAACTTGAATCTCCTTGAAGTGTCAGAACTTAGTCAAGTATTGAAGAAAAGGTTAAATCTGCCTGATGCTCCGGTAATGCCTATGGGTGGCTTTGCTATGGCTGCCCCTGCTCAAGAAGAAGAAGATGCTGCACCTAAAACTGTGAAGACTAGTTTTACGGTAAAACAATTTACTTTTAATCAATGTTTTCAAAAATAAGAATAAAAAAGTAAATGTTTTGTATATTGTTGATAGAGCAATGACATTAAATTTGAAATGTCGCATTTATGTCTCACGCATAGTATAGGTCCTGCCTAGTTTGGGATCTACGTGCCTAGTGTGAGTTTATTTCACATCAACTCAAGATTTAATTAAATAGTTATTTTTAAAGTTTTACTAATATTTTTTAAGAGATACCGAAAGCAATAATGTATTTTAATTTTTATCATATTTATTTACAGGTCAAGCTAACCAAATTTGACGACAAGCAGAAGGTAGCACTTATTAAGGAGGTCAAGAGCCTTCTAGAAGGATTTAATCTTGTACAAGCCAAAAAGTTTGTTGAAAGTGTACCAACAGTAGTAAAGGCAGACATTTCCAAGGACGAAGCTGAAAAATTAAAGGAAGCCTTATCTAAAGTGGGTGGCATTGTTGAAATAGAATAGATTTATTTGTTTTAGTGTTAAGTTCTTAGTGTGTAAATTATTTAGACAATTATAGTAATAAAAATATTTTAAAGGCTATTTTCCTTCATTTGATTTTTCTTGTCCTTTTCCAAGAGGAAAGGTCATGACATGGCACTGTAAAGGACTAAAGTAAAGTAAATTTTATTTCTGATAAAGTTCTTTTAATCCTTATTTTAGTAAGTTCAAAATTCGTATTACTTTATTTCGATACAATCGTACTGCGGCGCCTCGTGGCATGTCATGCCTTTTTATTCCACTGATTGCCGCGGCGTAATGCGGTAGCTGGGCTGTCTGCTGGATGCCATGACGTGACGCTGCATGCTTCGGCATGCCATGAAGTGAAGCTGCATACTGCGGCATGCCACTTCGTACCAAAGTGTCCTTCCAGCTGTCAAAGCACGTGCCATGACGTCTATCAGCGCCGGCCCTAACTCATACAATACTACTCAATCTTGAATTTCACATTTCAGACTTTGTATATTCATCAAGTATTTAAAATGTTATAAACATAATATTTTCAACAAGTGTGGATTTTGCAGACATTTCTTACCAAATTTAAAAATGATAAATAAAACAAAAAATTGTTTCTTTAAGATATTTACTAGGAGGAGGAGGATATTTTAAAATTGTTTCTTATATTATTTAGTATTACCTACTGGTAATACTATAACATAGCGTAAAAATCTTAACTCCTATAATTACTCTCTTGACTCCTATAATAACGTAACTATTCATATCCATCCATTCCATACCAATCATTGTCTCCATTTCTTTTTAGTTTAAGAGTAGTTGTCGGTTTAAACAAATATGCCTAATGGTAAAGCAGAATTTTGTTTAGATGTATTAAATAGTTATTTAATTGTTTGTCAAAATATTCTAATTTATTAAGGCACTAACGATCCGTCCCGGCTTCGCACCGGTGCAATGGCAACGGACGCCATCTAGTTCGGATCCTCAGGGAAGAAGGTACAAGATTTTGTGAAATGCAGTGTAAGGGCAGGAAATCGAAGCTTTGAGAAGAGACCCTAGGGCTACTGAATAAACGACGTGAAAACCCACCTGTCACATTGTCAGCAAAGCGGACTCTAAACCAAGAGATCAGTAAGCTCGTACGACACGACCTTCGGTGCTCCAATACTCTTTCAATTGAAAGAGCGATCAAGCAAAATCGGGGTCAAAAGTGTTCGTACAATCTCTTGGAAGAAGCCACCTGACGAAGTTGACCAGAGCGAGTAGAGAAGTCGTTGCTTCGAAGCCGGCAGTCCTTTGGGAAGTGGAAAGCTTCTATGGCCGGTTATACGCTTCGCATGCATCTCGACCTGATCCCGAAAATGAGGACTCCAGAGCCAAATTAACACGTCACTACACCAAAGACCTGCCAGAAGTCTGACTGAAGCACTTACGAAATAGAGATGACTCTTAAACAGCTGAAAAATGGAAAAGCCCCTGGAAAGGATGGCGTTACAATGGAGCTGCTACAGTCCGGAGGTAAACCCGTACTAAGGAAGCTCCAAAAGCTCTTCAATGTTATCCTGTTTGAAGGGAGAACTACGGAGGCGTAAAGTAGAAGTGTGGTTGTCTTGTTCTTCGACCATGCTGAAGAACTATCGACCCATATCCCTTCTAAGCCACGTCTACAAGTTGTTTTCGAGAGTCATCACGAACAGTCTTGCGCAAAGACTCGACGAATTCCAACCACTGGAGCAAGCTGGGTTTCGGAGCGGATATGGCACCACATAGACCACAGAAGACCGAAGAATATAACCAGCCTCTGTGTCTAGCATTCGTTGACTTGATCGAGATCTGGTCTAATCTGGAGTCCCTGCAGCGTTGCCAAGTAGATTAGCGATACATCCACGAAGTGTCTACGAAGCCGCCACCATGTCAGTCCAAGTACAGAATTAGCAAACAAGGCCGATACCGTTGCATCGAGGCGTGAGACAAGGGTACTTTATTTCACAAGTTCGAAGTCACTCAACGTGCTATGGAAAGGGCTATGCTCGGCGTTTCTTTAGGGAATCGCATCAGGAATGAGGTGATCCGGCAGAGAACCAAGGTCACCGATATAGCCTACCGGATTAGCAAGCTGAAGTGACAGTGGGCTGGCCATATTAGCCCCAGTACCGACAACTGTTGGGGAAAACGAGTACTTGACTGGAGACCGCGTCTCGGCAAACGTAAGACGCCCACAGGCCTGCTGGAGTGACGATTTGCGCAAGTTGGCTGGTAGGAGCTGGATGCGAGGAAGACACAATCGATCTAAGTAGCGTGCAATGGGAGAGGCCTATGTTCAGCAGTGGACTGCGATAGACTGCCGATGTATAAATTAGCTTATCCTATTCAAGAATCTCAGTTCCTAACAATATTATAAGTCTACATCTACTTATTTATCTACTACGAATTAAAGTTTGTTTTGCTAATCTTATCTGACAGATAAGACGAATTATAACTTATGTATAGGACTGCACGACGACAGAAATATCGATATATTGAATAATCGATAAGTATTAGAATTTAAAATTAGATATTTTAAGATAAAATTTTCTGAACAATATATCAACAGTTTGATATTAAAACACAGATAGTGGTTACTTTTTTAAAATAAGTTTTTATTTTATAGCGTAAAATAGTTTAAACTTGAAAATCCTTGTAAACTTATTCAATTTAATTTACAGTAGGTATATTATGTTTTTCCTATTTCTCTGGTTTTATTAGTTGCTTAGTATCTTAAAGAATATTATCATTTTGTATAGAAAATACCTATACCTCTGAAATGAAAAGAAACAACCGAGTCTTACGTACAGTATAGTCGCATGTTATGTGTAATGTGGTGTAGGCCCAAGTCCCAACCTCGAACTCTAGTACCGCTCGTACTCATTGGTAGCTTTCCCGCACGGAGCTTTCCCAGCTTCCTTGCACATGCTTCCTTCCCTTTTCACGAATTTAATAAGAATTAGTCTTGAATCAGGCTATTTACTTCTATTGTGGTTACTTGTCTTTGTAATCAATTTTTAAGCTGAATTACGACTGTTTTTTTTATAAATCCACTACATCAAATGTCGGATGGATAAACTCGAACTCAAATTGATGTATTTCAAAATATCGATATAACGAAAATCCAATTAAAAACATCAACAATCCTGTAACCTGTGCTCTCTCTCGCTCGTTGTCTAGGAGATAGCGTTTTTATAGAGTGATAAAAAATCGGAGCGTAATGTTTTGTACAATTATTGTAACCTCGACGTCATTCTCTTAAAAACGATGATACCAGTAGGTAATGGAATATTAACGTATATTTATCTTAGTATAATTGCGCAATAATTATAATGACCTCTAAACTTGTGTCGTTTCAATAAAACCTTTGTTTGAAAATCATCGCGACTTAAAAATATGGAATCAATTTATTTCAAAAAGTTTGAATTACTTTTAAAATATGCATTGGAAGGAAAAGTTGTTATAAACGAGTTTTATGCGGAAAAAATTCTGAATTTTTTGATGGATCAACAAGAAACCAGTGAGTATTGTTTCATCTACTTATTATTAGATTAGTGTATTGGTTGTAAATAAATATTGAAGATGCGATAAATCAGCTACCTATGAATCTTATAGGTAGGGCTCGCTATCACTTCATGAATCTGAAAAGAGGAAACCCTGTGTGCTACTGCTAAAATAGGTAATACGAATAACGTATATATTTACGTATAAGTTTTTTTTATGATCTTAAAATTTGAACTTAAAATTTAGAAAATGAAAAATCTGTTCCTTAAACTTTTACCTGTGTTTATTAAAAACCCATGTATATTATAAATACCAATAAAAATTACTTAAAATCATAATAACTGGCAATCATGACATTGAAAAACAGTGGACAATTTAAAGCTATATTTTGCAAAAACAAAAAACTTGAACGATTTATGCATTTAGTCAAAATTTTATGTAGACTTATTAACTTTTCAAAAATTGACACACCTCAATGCATAATTATGAATTGCAATAAACTGTGTTCCTAATTTCTCATTTGAAATGCCTAGAGGTGGTATTTTTTCTTTAATTTTAAATTTGACTAAATGTAAGGGTATATTAATTAATAAAAAAGGGATATCCTAAATCAGTTCACATATTACAGAGTTGTGTGTAACAAACATAAAAAATAATAAAAGACTGTTGAATTGAGAACATCCTCCTTTTTTTGAAGTTAGTGAAAAATAATGTATCAGATTTATATTTAGCCAGTATTGATATTGGTATTGCTACAATACACCTTGTCATTGTCTATATACCACCCTCAGTCTTGGTGTTCAACAATATCTAAGCACAAAATGTTTGCTACATTTTGTCATAGCCATAGTAAAGACCATGAAAACTAATAAAATTAACTTTAGTTGTAATATAATTAATGAATTAATCTAATAATATTTTTTTATGTGATTGAAACCCTATCTACAATTTTTTTTTTTGAGTTAACCAATTTTCTTCTTAGATGGAAGATCCCATAGATTTAAACATCTGTCAATATTGGTATTGCAATCAAATATGATTATCATTGAAATCTCAGTTTGACTTTAATGTGAGACACAACATCCTCGCAGGCTCAGTCTTGAACTTGTTCAAATCTTGTAGGATCTTGGTTTTACTGCAGTAAAGCAGTTTTGGCCTTGGCAAGAAAGCAAGACTGGAAGATCACAACAGATTTTGGGCTACACATCAAATGCTTCTAAAATTTACATATGACAACAGATGTTAAAGCATTACATATAAAAGATGACAAAAATATAAAACTGATTGTTAACTAAGCACTCGTTTTTTATCATACTGCAATTACCCATGCAATAAATTATACTGTACTTCCAACTTCAACCACTATAAAAAAATCCTGTCCGTTTTGTTGAGTACCCATTGATTTTTACGTAAACGTTTAAAGTTAGCGTTAGCCCAAATTAACTATTCCACGCGGACAAAGTCGCGGGCAGAACCTAGTTAAGTTATAAAACTGAAGATTTATCCTATTTTAATCAAATTTAAATCATTATTTTATTATTTGAATTGGTCGTACTCAAAGTTTGTCACAATTAACTTTTAAAGGTGGAAAGTTAATGGGGTTGAAGATACAGCTTCTTACAATGTATAATTTTTTTCTACCAATAAGGGTTTTGGCTCAACTTTCAACTCAAAAAAATATTGAAATCAATTATTTTTGCATTGTTTGTCAATCCCTACTACAGATTATATAATAGAATTAACGCACTTGAACGTTTCGTTTTACCTATGGTTAAGTTGTCATACGTTCGGTAACATTTTATTTCATATAAATTTACGTAAATAATTATATTTTGTACTCATTTCAATAGTTTTCATGCACACATCTATTTAACAGTTTATATATATTCAATTACAGTAATATTTTCATTATGAGCTATTAAAATTAAAATTTGTAGTATTTACCGGCTTGTGGAACGAAACGTAAAACTGACGTCCGTCGAATTGAAAGGAGGAAGTGGGGTGGAGGTATAATGCCTGAAACTCGTTCACTTTGACTTATACAGACAGAATTGCCACAGATCGCACCCTTACTGTAAGCTGTTAAGAAGTTCCATTGATCATTATATTCGACTACGACAATTACTTCCGTTACTGTCCCTGTGGTGACGGATTCAGAATACAGAATGTCACCACCCCTTTTCTACTAACTACGCAGGACAACAGGACTGCAAAGAGAAAGAAAGCTTGACACAAACCCTATACCAACGCGTCTGGCCAGCGTGGTATAGTAGGCCAAAACCTATTTTCTAAGGAGAGGCCTATGTCCAGCAGTGGACTAGTAAAGGCTGTTGATGACAACAATTACTTGACTATATTGACGTTACTGTAGGTGACTCAAATATTCGGATAGCCTATAAAAGATTCAGCCGAGTATCGTTAATTTGCTCTTAAGAATTGAAGAGTTCCGTTACTTTGTCATGGATCCCATGATCAGAATCTGATCAAACTCATCAAAGTATCCTTAAAGTACATCCATTCCAATAAAAAAAGAATTTTTCGAAATCGGTTCACCTCGTCAAAAGTTCTGAGGTAACAAACATAAAAAAAATAAAAAATACAGTCGAATTGAGAACCTCCTCCTTTTTTTGAAGTCGGTTAAAAACTTATCATATGTGTACGTCTGCGTACGTGCGATTGTGTGCGTGTGTGTGTATGAACCATTGTAGATGTCTGTTATTCAGATATTTTAATTAGTTTTTTTGTGTTTTAATAGTTAAATGTCAACAACCATTCAGTCAATCGATGAAACAAAAGAATTGATGGGTGAAGCGGAAAATAAAAGTAATAAACAGGATAATAAATTGCCTGTTCTAAATGAAAAATAACAATGCTAAAACCCCAGCATTTCTGCGCTACTAATTTTTATTACGAAGGCTGAGAAAGAAAATCAGCTATCGTTTTTCTCCACTATCCTGAGTAAAACCATAAAATATTATGTTACAAAAGTATTACATTTTTTTGGGTTTTAAGGGCAGGGGGCAATCTTAAACGAAGGAAGAGGACGGGATTTTTCGTTATTAGAGCTGCACTCAGCTGCAGTGCGGATGTTTTGAACCGGCGACCCTAATTTCACACGTTGTCTTCAGGTAGGTAGGGTTAAATCAGAAATGCCGTAGGCGACAATTTGTTCCACATATTGGTTGTGCGGGGCGAGGTTTTGTTATATATGTATCAGTCGGAACAATTCCTAGGAGCACTCCCTATAATATTCTCATTAAATACAGCATAAAGGAACAATAGATAATGTAGAGTGAAGTTACATCTGTGCGCTCCACCAGGAAGTCGTCGATATGAAATTCTAGCAACCAACGTTTGTAGTCACGCGGTTCATAGAAAGATGCATGTACTGGATGTCCCTGGCCAGGGATAAGAACTCATTTCTTTATTTAGTTGAAGTCGATGGACCGCTTTAAAATATGGTCTCGATCTGTTTTGCCCACTAAGCTTTTTCGATACTAATTTGGTCTTTCTAATTGATCGTGATGCTAGACTTAGCTCGTCTACGGTAAGGAATGTTGGCAATGTGGCAATCAAGAAAGTGCTATCGTAGTAGCACGTACGTACGCAATGTAGTTTCTTGAAAGTGTCGAATGTACACAAAAAGTATAGTTGGTCTAATAACTTGCATCTCGAACTTACAAGTACAAGTACACGAGACTAGGGACACCTGCTTCTTGGCTTTGTTGAAGTAACGATTAACTGTGGAGTCCCAAAGAGTTAGAAAGATACTATTTTGTTTTCTTTTCGATTATCACTTTTCCCAAGACACATCGATATGTTGATACTGCTTATCATTGCTTATTTGTCTAAGTAACTATCACTTGATAGTGTTAAATTGATTTTAAATATGTTTTAATTAACCTAACTGGCAAACAAAATAAGTAAAGTGTTTATAAGATTAGCAACTCGTTATGCACAAGGTGTTTATGACACAGATGTAGCCGGTACATAATTGTTTATTATTAAGGGAATTTGTGCCTTTTGTAGTAAGTCAAAGTTTTAGATTAAGTTAAAAATATTTGACCTAAACTAACCAAAGAATAATCGGTATATGTGTATATTGTGGTCTATAAATTTTCGAGAAATGAACGGTCGTATTATGAAATGGTCTGATCAGATCCTTGCAAAACAGCTAAACGCACGATTACTTCATATTTTCATATGTGATTAATCATTACCTACTGGTCACACATAACGTTAAAATCCAAACGAGCCACTAGATAATATAACTATTTTATGAAAAATAGTTGGGTACTTACATATTAGATTACACCCATTATTATTAGTATAACCAAATGTGAATTGAAAAATCATCAAACTTATATAACTCATATCATATAACTTAACGTAATGCGAACATCTATGAAATAGTCGACCAAATCATGAAATGAACAAATCTAATTGCTGTGTCACAATATGACAGTCCCAATAACATTTTTAACCACCAGCCAAAAATTATTCAGTCTCTATTGGTAATTTAGAGCGAAGGTCAACTCCTGTGTTTGATTGACCATTGATAAATAGCTCTAAAGTAATCGTACTTTGTTACAGGTCTTGGAAAATTATTACTGGACACGCCCGCTTTTGCCGACTGCATATTTCATTCCGTTGCTAATATAAGCCATCTTAACACTTCTACTCAGATATTCCTCATCAAACTTGCAACTTTTCTCTTCAAAAGTGAACTACTCTTTATGAAAATACAAATTCAAGGGTTTCAAAATTCCTCTCTTAAATTTTTTCTTCTGAATAATTTGAATAGTAATTCACCAGCTGCTCTGCATTTAGCATGTATTGAATTATTTACAATGCTAATTGTACACCGCTCTGGCGTTAACTTTCTTCTAGAACATAAGATATGGCAAGTGATACTATACCCAGACGTTCACCGTAGGCCAAAACCAATTTCAGTAGCCACCTATAATTTTATAACGAAACTTGTTTGGAAACTACATGAATACAATTCAGAAATGGAATTAATTGAAGTGCTTGACCACACAGTAAAGCCAATTCTCAGGAGTGAATATTTATACGTGCCCGTCCTTGATACAGAAAGTGACAAAAAGTTTGCGGATAAAATATATGCACAGCTGAACGCACTATTGGCTGTGATGAGCGATGTTGACAATTACGCACCAGTTAACAATGTAATGCTTTTATTAAGAGACTACTTTCTAATAGACCAGGTGATATACGGGATCTTTGAAGGAACAAAAAACAAAGATCTGCTTAAATTAATTAACGCTTTTTTATGTCGATATTCATATGGACTCTTGCGACATCTACTGTTCGACAAGGAAATACATGAATTTTGTAATAAGGTGACCGCTTCACATCGTAACTATGTAGTTTTTGCAATAAAAAAGCGGGAATCATTTATAGTCATAGACTACATAATCCAGTATAATATAATGTGGTCAGGCATCGAAAAACTACATGGAAATAAATTTGACTTTCCTCTAACATTTGAACAAAATGGTAAAAAAATTGAATTTTCCCTTCAAATAATAATTCACTTGATAATACCAATAATGCATAATTACTTGTTAAGAAAAAATTCAAAACGGAGTCTACTAGAAGAGTTTTTAGTTAAAATGGGGAAATGTTTAACCGACTATATTTATTCTTCTTGTTATTCTTTTGCGTCACTTCTAGAGGAGACAGGCATAAGTTTCAGTAACAAAATCACAATTCATTCCTTGAAAGAGTTACTGAGATTAAAGGACCATTTAAATCCATCGCAGACTGGAACCTTATTCCAGAGCCTCCATTACTTGTTAGAGGTGTTTATATCATGTGACGAAGCGGGGCAACTAGTTTTGATCGAAAGTCCTATGGATCCCGAGGATTTGACAATGCTTACGCACTTGTTGAACGCGCTGAAGATGATGTTAAAGGAGTATAACATATCATGGTATGAGAATGTTGAGATTGTTTCTATTCAAGCAGATCTACTAAATTTGCTAAAACAAACATTCTTGACGACGAAGGTAAAATAATAAAAATACATGTTATTCGAACCCTGAATTAAAATTCGAAAATGGTGAATAATAAACACTTCCTATGTTACAGCATGTGGTGCAAGTTTTAGATATGTTAGATATTTGTATGCAAAAGTTCCTATCGCCAAGTATGACACTTCTAGTCGACATTAACTCTACGCCAAGTAACACGCTCAATGAAATTGGAAAAGTCATCTTGTTATACACACAACATGAAGATTGGGAAGTGCGGGACTCTGCACTCAATTTGCTAAAAAGTTGTACAGAAATAGCATTTGTTAGTAAGTAACTTTAAACCTTTATTTTACACAGTAAGTAGATCAACAAGAAATAGGTACCTACTATTTTAAACTGGAATCAGAACATGCTTATTAAAACAAAAAAACGAAATGAAAGCTATTTCATCCGAGTTGGAAACACATTACCGTATATTGTAGGTGTCATAAAACTTTATTAAAAAACTAAGTTTTTTTTTATGGATAGCATTTTACATTTACATCCACAATCACAAGGTTTCATTCATTAAATTTTCGCTTGAGCGAGATCTGTGCAAAGATTTTTACCGAGAAACTTTTTACCGCCATAAAATTAGTACTCGAGTATTGTCTTCTTCAATCTCTCGACAATGCTATTGTCAACTATCTGAATCCTTACTGAATCACAACTTGATAAGCTTGAGCCACTCATATTCTCTTTTTGCTTTACAACATCCTATTTACCCCTAAACTCTTTTTTCTCTAAAAGAACGGTTAAGTTCGTTCATAATAAAAAAATCTAAAATCATCTTGAGATTTGGGACCGGAGATGCTACAGCTTTCTAATTTTTTTTATGTCAGAGGGGGCAGACGAGCAGACGGGTCACCTGATGGAAAGTGATCATCGCCGCCCATGAACGTCTGCAACTCAGGAGTCACAAACGTGTTGCCGACCTTTTAGGAAGGAGTACGCTCGTTTCTTGAAGGTTTGAAGGTCGTAGCGGTCCGAAAATACCGCAGACGATAGCCCGATACAGTTTGGTTGTGCAAGGCAAAAAGTGTCTCGAAAAGCGCACAGTAGTGGAGCGCTAACTATCTAGGTGATGAAAATTTTGCCGTGTGAAACGATGGCAGAAAGTTGCGGCTGGTATTAGTCCGAACAATTCCTCGGAACACTCTCCATGATATATGCGATAGAGAATGCAGAGTGAAGCCACATCTCTACGTAACGCCAATGGATCGAGCCGATCGGAGATATTTGGGCTTTCGGCGATTCGAGTCGCTCTTCGTTAGATGCGGTCCAGAGGGATAAGCTGGTACTGAGCTTCTTCGAGGCCAATTTGACCTTGCCCTCTAAGTGACCCCGAAACTGGACTTCGCTCGATATGTCGATGCCCAGGATTCTGATGCTGGCTGAGGCAGTAAGAGATGTGCTCTCAAACCGAGGTGATACGACAAATCATATCTTCTTTGCGATGAACGCACAAACCTGTCTTTTTTGGGTTAAACTGGAATAGATTTAGTCGGACCCAATCTGAAACCTCCGCTAAGGAAGTTTCAATTTCAGACACAAGTTTGTTTCGACTCTCGATGACGTTTTCCTGAGAAATATTGGGGCGGCTGGTGTAAAGGGCATCTCGTGCTATCATCTGCATAGCAATGGATGCTACTACTTTGCAACATGTAATTGATATGCAGAAGAAATAGTGTGGGTGATAGCACACAGCCTTGTGGGACACCAGCATTTACGAATTTCGAGTCGGAGCATGCACCGTCGACAACGACCTTAATACTTCTGTCCGCAAGGAAACTGGTGACCCAATTACACAATTTCTCGGGAAGCCCAAAGGAAGGCAGTTTCGAGAGAAGCGCCCTATGCCAGACCCGATCGAAGGCCTTCGCTATGTCTAAACCAACCGCACAAGCCTCTCCTTTGGTCTCGATCGCCTGTGTTCACCGCTGTGTCAGACAGACGAGAAGATCACCAGCTGAGCGACCCCGGCGAAAACCATATTGTCGGCCATTGAGTAGCTGGTGATCATCTAAGTACCGGAGGAGCTGGCAGTTGATTATGGATTCCATTATCTTAGAGAACAAAGGAGTTATGGCTATAGGCCTGTATTTGGACGGGTCAGAGCAGTCACCTTTTTTAGGGATCGGGTGCACAAAAGCTACCTTCCAGGACTTCGGGACGATATCTAACTATTACCTGTTGCTTTTCACTAATAAATGTTTCGTTAGAATTTAAAGATTTACTTTTATTATTTGTAAGTCATTTTTTTTACAGAATACAATCCTTTACAAAAAGTTATAAAGGCGAACAACCTGATCATTATTGCGGCCAAGGCGGCTCTCACCGACACGGAGTTTTATCCTCAATGTACCGCTCTCAGATGCCTTGCAGCAGCAATTAAGATCAACAGTATATGGCAGGAAGTGTTAATTACTGATCCATATTTTTATGTAAGTATATTTAATCACTTTCTGCTTTAAACCTAGCAACGACGTAAGCCAAACTGCATCGAATTGAAGTTTCTAGTGCGTCCACCTCAGACAAATTGAATCGAAATGTTTCTTAATCGTAGCTTTTTTTCATTAGAGAAGGTCTAGCAAGTGTGATAAACAGCTCTGAGATTTAAAAACAAAAAATATAATATTAGCATATTTAATTATTATAATAATTTATACTCACTTTCATTTAAATTGAATAAATCTTATTTTTTAGTGTGGTTAAAAATAAATCATTATTATTAGAGTTGATGCCTTTGTAGGCACAGGTAATTTAAAGCTTTAAACGACTTTAATAACTGTAATTCGACAGTGAGTATTGATTTACGATAAAGGCATAACTTTTTATATCAAATGTACGGTAAGACGAACAAGGCCTCGCTAAATAGTTTTTTTCTTTATGTTAGAGGGGGCACACGAGCAGACGGGACGTCTGCAACTCAGGAGTCACAAAGGCGTTGCCGGCGTTTTAGGAATGAGTACGCTTTTTTCTTCAAGGTTTGTAGGTGAAAGTTTGTTAAATTATGTTTCAGTACCATCTGGTATACATACTAAAAAACCATGAAGACGGGATGGTGAGAACCGAAGCTGCAAAAGTATTAACAGCAGTCTATGCGAACCAAAAATTCGAACCGAGATGTCAAAGTAAATTGTACGAAAACATGATGTATGTAGCTATAGATGATTTGCATTGGGAAGTCCAACTCGCCGCTCTTTATTTTTGGAAGCAAGCCATTCAACAACATTTCACTAACAGAGGAATGTTAGACGGGAAATTCCCTTCGGTAACTTTTTCTAAAGAGAAAAGAAAAATTATAGTATTAAATGATAGAGAAATACAAAGGCAATTGACTGGAATCATGAACAACCTGGCCGATATAGGTTGTCTCACAGTTCTTTCAGAGTGTATGAATGTCTTACATAACACTATGGTAATGGAACAAGCTTACTGCATAGCTAAAGAATTAATAGAAAAGCTGGATGAAAATAAGTTTGAGAAAATGATTGAAAGTGTGGCATCCCAGCCAGATGAAACGCCATCTACATGCACAGATAAAGTTATATACAAATCAATGGACGTAACTTACGAAACGAGTGAACAAGAAAGAGATACAGTGATAGATGATATTTTAAAAGAGAATCAAGGAGACCTTATTATGAAACTATATGATAATTATGATGAAATAAAAAGTGAAAAAATGGACATAGATGCGGGATATTGTCCGCGAAAATCATTGATAGGTCCAAATCAGTTTCTTGAATCATTTAGAAGTATTGATTATTCTTCTATGATAGAGGGTAAAAAGAAATTTAACTCTGATTGTGTCAATAGCTTTGACGGACTATTAGACGAAATGTTAAGTTTAGTTGGTATTAATTGATATTTTTGTAAAATATGAAAAATGTTAAATTATGTGTATAAATAATATGTAAATTGTAACTTAATCTCCATAATAATAACAAGGTACAATACCATTCTAATTTTGAACTGATGATTAACAGTGGACTGGTGAGAGCTTCATAATCATTATCGCTATTAAGTCGTGATTTACTAACAGGGTATGTATATTTTTTACAATAAAAATGCCTAGTTGTGTTAGAAAGACAGCTTTTTTTTCGAATATAATCTCCAAACGATACAATAAATTTTCAAGATAGCGATTTAAACATTTTAGTAACAATCTAATGAATTGACTTCTTCATTATTCATTTCGTATATACCTAACATGTCGTCCAATAAAGACGAAACGCTTCTTATACCTTCATTCCATCTCGTTTTTTCCTCTATTATAACTCTAAAATCATTATCTTTTACATGATTAACAAATAAATATGGCGATGCAAATTTCAACAGTTTTATCCTTGGCTTAAGAACCATTTCTGGTTTATTAGCATTCAACGTCATATGTCTTTCATATATTTTCGATAATAGGTTTATATCGTCAGAATTAAGGATCTCTTCTATAACATTATCTGAGTTCTGTGCGTCTACCATGTCCACATTGTTGTCGTCGTCTGATTCCTCCTTTATATTACTAATCAGCTCTTCAACACTCGTAATTTCCCCTTCGTTACATCTTAAACATTCGTGCAATTTGTACTTACTTAGAATTTCATACAATTCTAATGCCGTTGATACTGCCGCATCCAAAATTCCGACTTCCGTTTCATTGTTCAATAACTTAACAAATACTGTCAGGCAACCAATAACTGCTAATTCATCTAATGTTTTTAACAGTCGTTTTTGGACTTCATTTTCATCTAACTTGACAATTTTTCTTGTTTCTTTGGAAAACGTAATGGGAGGAAACTCACCATCTAACATACCCTGGTCAGTAAGAAAAGATTGGTAAACGATCTTCCAAAATTTAAGGGCGCTTATTTGTACCTCCCAATGGAAATCTGCCAGAGCTGATGAAACCATATGTTCATATAATATCTCTTTGTAAGATGGAGTCAACTTAATGTTTTTATACATGTCACAAAGCACGTTGCAAGCTTCTTTTCGTACGATTCCTTCATCATTGTATCGCAATAAACTTAACAATCGAAACTGAAATAAAAGCAGGAGTTTGCTGAACAGAGTCAAACTTTTATAATACTTTAAGGATCTACCTGATAGTGCATGGTACTAAAGTTGACATTAATCATGAAATTAAGTGCAATATAAGAGAGTAGTATTTAATCATTTGTGACGCAGTTTGCTTTTTCATACTAGCTCCAAAACGAAACGAGTATCAAAATTTGACTTGTCAGTCAATTTTTGGGGTAACATATTTATTCTTTCTATTTCAAAAATCAATAAAATCACAGGTACCTGTAAGTCAGGGTATTCTTGTTCCAGTTTCTCCCATAGAATACCAATTCGGCTGGCTGAAGCCACACATTTCAATGCTGAAACCCGTACATAAGCCTCGTGATCATTGAAAGCAATTGTAGCCGCAACATTTATTAAATTGTTGTCAAAGATTTGTTTCTGAAATGGTGGAAATTCTGTAAAAAAAATAATTAAACATATTTATTTTCATACTATCCGATCAAAAAGTTTTTATTAGATTTTTGTTACTGTTTTGCTCCTAAGGGTCATAGCATGATGTTCAATAGAAATGAGAATAATTAAGAATTCCACACTAGCTTTTCACACTAAATTCTGAGTAAACACTTACAACTTATAAAACATTTTCATTCTCACGTGCCTACAAAGGAGTCACTACTGCATTGTCAAGTCTAATACTTATTTCAATATTTAAAAAAATACAATAGCTTACTTATGTATGAGATATCGGTGACCATGTGCAATAATTCAAGTGCTGTGTCCCTGACTTCCCAATTCCTGTCATGTATCTTTGTATAGATCAGCTTGCCAAGCTCATGGATAGGTGTTCCTGGTTGCAATTCCAACAGCAATGAGAGATTTGGTTGCAGGAACTTCTTCACGGTTACAGTTATAACATTGAGGGCTTTTACAACAAACTAAAATAAATAAAATATACATTATGATTATATTCCATGGCTTTCATACCTGATGTATGAGTTGACAAAAAAACAAACAATTGTTACTAACTTTGCATGTCAGGTTGGGTTTTCGTAAAATATTGCTCACAATATTATATAAACAAATGATTTCTAGACTTTCATGCCAATTTACATTACATTCTGTAATCAATAACAATATTGCGTCCAGAACATATGTCACTACCATAATCTTTCCTTCACTTTCTTCAAAATCCTCTTCCGGTTTCACATCACCATATATGTCAACAGGATCAAAATCTTGTAGAACATAGAAAAGTGCTTGGAATACTAAATTGCCTTGCTCCTGGTCCATATGATCCTTCAAATATATAATAGTCTTTACACTTTGAATGCTGATAGGTAATGGATCTAATTGTAAAGTTAAATCTCGTAAAGCGTAAGCAGCTTTAGTAGTATGCTCACAAGAAGAATTTAGTAGTCGCGATATATAATCAGATATTCTTGTATCCTGTAAATGTGACTGGCTCTTCTGATATGTAACAAACGCCAAAATTGGTATTAAACATAAAAATAACATTTGATTTTTCATATACACTTGCTTTTTAAATTCTTCCACCTCAATTCTGGGTTCTTTGTCACAAATCCTACTCCATATAATTGTAACTGCTGCACAATACTCTAATAGTTGGATCGCATTTCGCCGTTGGATAAAGGACTGTATCATATTGAAGTTTATGGCCATGGCTTCAAGAAAATCATCATGACTGTAAATTGTTTCAGGCAACCTTGGCTTTAGCAAAAAGGTTTTTCCAAGCATTAACCAGAATGATAATTTCATCACTAGTAAAACTTTTTCTGACCGTATCCAATCAATTGCTAGAACCAAATGTTGAACAAGTTTGTATTCTTTTATCAATATACTTATGAGTACACTTGCATTCACTATTCGTTGATCCTTACTCACAACACTCAGAAATATTTGAATAGACGGCTCTATGGCATTGCATAAGTCTATTTCATCCTCACTAGTCATTGGTTTTCTATTTAAAAAGTCCATTTGAATCAACGGTTGCACGAGTGCATCCAAAACCAATCTGAGGTTGACTTGGTCATCTACATCATTCACTGCCCAAAGGAACTCTGACATAAACTTGTATGTTTGCCGTACAATGAAAACAGTTGACCTATGCTGGCACAGTTTGAATATTTCTTTCCATATAGCAGTGTCTAAAATCCATGATATCCCTGATTGGTGCTTAGTTATAGCTAGAGCTACTTCCATATAAGATACTTTTATACTCGGACTTACGTTAATGCCACATATTTCTTTAAAACCAGCAGCTATTTTAATGCCTTGCATAGAGAATATTTTAGCAAAATGAAATTCTCTTTGCACAGCAACAGCAAGCATTCTAGTGAGAAAAACTTTGACCGTGTTGTGAGCATTTTCTGCATGATTCAATCCCTCAATAATCAAGTCTGACAAAATAGGCAGTTCTAGAAATGATGTTTCTGAAAGGCAATATTAATATTTAATTTCAGTGATCAAAATGATGGTGCTAATTTTCTTATGGCTGCTGACAAGATAAGACTAGTGGTTAAAATCTACAATTTTTTCACTGAATCTCAAAATATCAAAAAAAGTAAATTTTAAATTACACTTAAGCATAAGCAATTGTAATGAGCCCAAATAAAATGAACAGTTTTGGAAGTGAAAAATTACAAGATGCTTATTTATTAACAAGTTCAGCAGTCAAAACTTAGTAGTGAAGTGAACAAAAATGAGTCATTTAAAATAATAATAAAATAACTATCCATATTCAACTGAACATAATAGCCTATCCAATGTTAAAATAACAGTTACAAAATTAGTTTCCTTAACATAGTTTATATTGTGTGTGTGTGTAAAACAAAATAAATTCATGGCATACCAGGGTCAGAACTGTTTGACAGTTTGTTGATAAGACCATCAACATAATAATTGTCCATCACGTAATTGGGTTCGGCAATTTTTGCGAACAACAATTTTAACTTCGCTTGTATTCCAGAGCCCTCCATTTTCACGATAATATTTAATGTTTATGGTATGTTTGTAATGGAAAAAATCCACTATCATTTAACAAATATCATGAGAAATGACTAATATACTATATACAATATACTATAATAAACTAATATAACAACGTTACTAAAATAGTTTTAATAGTTTTGATTATCGGCAAATAAGGCTAAGATATAATAACTTAGAGTTTTCACAATAATTACTTTACTAAGTTATAAATATATCTTAATTCTTATGACCTAACCAAGTTTCCACTATACTTTTTTTAATTTTAGATCATAAACACACAGTCGTTCAAATGTAAACATAGACTTTAACCATTGACAGTAAAGAAGATAGGTAGGTAAGGCCCTGTCCGCACAGCGATATTTTACCGCGCGTTTTTTTTTCGCAAAATTCTGTGGAAATAAATCGCCACCATATCGCGTTCATTTTGTCTCAAATCACGGATTTTTATTTCGATCCTATTTTTATCTGCCAGTGCGGATAGTCCTATATAAATCCCATGTGTCACAGAATTTTGCAACAAAAACGCGCGGTGAAATATCACTGTGCGTACGCGACTTTAGAGAGAGAGAACACGGGGTATAGCTGCCTGTAAGTGGAAGTCACGGAGAAAATACAAAGAGGAGAAACAAGCATAAGCATAGTAACTGTGCACTGTGATTCTAAGTAGGTCCTGACGTCATCACAGTGGCTTAAAATTAGTACACTCACCATCCGTACTGTGCGCTTGTGGCGCAAAATCGTTAATTGGTATATTTTCGTGGTATTAAGAAGAAAAGAATGAAATTAAGTATATTATTGAAATAATGCGGATAGACATTTTGTTGCCAGTGATGGCATCGCATTTCATATGGGTGTAATTTTTTTCCTAATTTATTAAACTAGTTTTGGCAAAATCTCTTAGTGTTTTTTGAAGTACAGTTACTTATATTCGTCACTAGATGACTAAACATTGTGTAATTTAAACTAAAAATACAAAGGTACGTGAAGCTTAGTTTAAGTCAGATAATACTAAATTTGTTCTGCATTCAGTCCTATAGATTTTTTAATGGCCAAAACAATCTATTTAAAATTTTAGTAATCATTTTGCAAACAGCAACATATACTTCTTATTTCCAGTCGTACAAACATTTTGTTCGACCCGGGAATTGAACCCGAGACATCTACTCCGCAGTCGCATCCACTCTACCACTGCACCATCGCAGTCAACGCCAATGCATGAATTATATTCCTGTCAAAAATCACTTAACGTGGCTAAGAATATTCATTTTAATAAAAAACAAACAAGAAAATGATATGCATTTAAATTTATTTAAGAAATAATTGAACGTTTTTTTTTCTGAAACAGATAGGAAACAATGGTACTTACTGTTGTTAGGTGACTTTTTAATTTTATTTAGATTGTCCTTTACAATTTCTACACATTTTTAACCACAAGTAGTCATAATAAACAACACAAAATATGAAAGAAACGTGTGCGTATTCAGTGACAGTACTTTTAGCAATATATGATCTAAAAAGAAAAAGGCCATGTGTTGAGTTTCTTTCAAACTTCTTTTCAAAAAGGTCAACGGGCAAACGTTTATTTTTCGTTACGTTTGCTATGCTGAGTACAGTTATAGTTTCATACGCAAGGAAATGCAAGATCATTGATGAAGCAAAAGTGAAATTATGGGAGTACCAATGATCAATAATCAAACATCATATTCTTATAAAAAGCAAAATTGCAATCACCATTTATTTTCTATTTAATATTTGAGATTTTTGAAATAAATTTCACCAACCATGAGTCCAAGGTTAATTTTCCATATTGCTTGAATTCTTATATATTTGTATATATTCCAATATGCGAAATTGCTATTATATACGTCATTTTTTATTTTTTGGCTGTTATAAACAATCAGTCTGCGATTACCGATACCAGCGATACCACCGTAAATAATATGAGTGTATACGTGAACGTAACCTCCTAAAATATCTGAATAATGATAAATAATCAAAATGACATAAATAAAAAACTAGTGTTAAGCTAAAGATTTAATAATTTAAATTCCCTTGTATTGCACTATATGAATTTTGATTTCCCCATTTGCCAAATGATTCTTGAAGATTTAACAAATACTAAGGCATAACTGTATGATGTTCCCCATTTCATTCAAGTTGCGGTTTAATATGACTTGTTAACCGACTTCAAAAAAGGAAGGAGGTTTTCATTTCGACTACTTTTTTACCTTACTGTTTTTTTATTTTATTTGTTTTTTACTTTTATTGAACATATAACTTGGTAGCCTAGGTTTTATAGGTAAAATTCTATGATATTACCTATTTTATTCAACTAATAAAAATGTAAGGTGATAATAGCTGTTCATTGGTGTGGTGGTTGTATATTATGCTTCTCTAAAAAATATTATAGCTCTCGTGATTACATCAGCTAAATCACGATAACATTGAAGGTCTAAGAGTAAAAAAGCTGCTGGTAGCCGAAGAGGCGTGGTGCCACCTAGCCAACCGTGAGTATGCAATATTTGCGTAACAATCGTTGTAAGCGGAGTCGTAAAAAAAATATTTTAGGCCGTTTATTCTAGCCGTAGTTAGTACAGGACAAGAATGAGTACGTTAGAGGGGGCGAGAAGGAGGGCGTGGGAGAGGTTGAGATGCACTTGACTTTTTGTCATACTTAAGGAATCGTAACTACGTGTAATATTCCTTTATTAAAAATATTTCTTTGGAAAACACTCTTCACCAAATTAGGGCACAGAAGCAGGTTACGCAACGCCGGTAAGCCGCTATCACCCCGAAGCGGACAGCTCAACCGTAGCGAATGCTGCTTCCCGACGCAACACCGCCTTAATCTACAAAGTTTGTGTTTTTTTTTATGTATCGGACATCTTAGCCTTGCCATAATACTTTGAAGTCTAACATCCAAACTGCAAGTAAATTTATTGAACTTTTATTTTCAGGAAGCCGTTTCCAGAACGCCAGTCGTGCGTGTTAGTGGCCAAACCCTCGACTTCCTGAGGGGCTTATTCTGTGGTCGAAGCCTCGACGTCCGGAGGGGCTCAGTCTTTCGGTAAGATAGTTATTCCAAATGGGTGATTAGTCCTTTGTTGTTTAATGTTTATTTTATCACGTCTGTTTATTGTAGCACGACTGGACAAGTGACAATTGTGTCGACTCGTGACATTCAACGACTTAGGACTCAGGGCAGGACCACCCGATTTGTACAAGCTCCAAAAACATCTGTTGCTGGATGTACCCAAAGCGAAAAAGAACGTTATTGAAGTGCGAGGAGTGCAATGTGCACTTGTGCCTCGATGGCTGTTTTAAAGCGTATCACAAGCCGTAATAGGCTTTAAAACAGCAACTTAAAAATAAAAATTGAAACATTTTATTTATATTTGTTTTTTTTAATTATACTACAATAATTTCTCATCATTTAAATATAATTATTTAATACCTATATTTATAACAAAAAAATATTCGTATCAAAGTGTGTAAAAACCCTTAGGACGATCGGCCATCATGCCGTCACTTCGCAATCAGAGGTGATATCAGGTTAATGAAAGAAAGGGTTGTTTGTTTTAGTTTATTGTGATATACTGTTCATTTCACGTAATGATTTATTAGTATCAAAAGAACCTTATTTAATCTACTTTAATAATATGTAATTAACGTCGAGAAATGTAAAATTGTTGAAACAAAAATTACTCTTTAATTTTACCTTTATTGTTAATCTATTGTGGATTAATTATGGTACTTTAATTTTACGTATTCTGATTCCTTGAAGATTTTTACAAGTATTTTTAACTTGGCTGTAGCTGCATTAGTCTGCTAGTAAATACACTTCAAATAGGTGATGGCATAAGGCGCTCGACGCGATTCAATCTAAATCACAAATCGCGCGCGCAAACGGGTAGGGCGTTGACAGATGTCACACTCAGACAGACGTCCAATCAGGATTTTCGTGGGGCAATTGCTCATTAAAAGGTTTAAAAAATTAAATTATTATTGTAATTCGTTAAAATATATTTAACATTATACAACATCGTATTCAATTGTACCCTGTGTTAAATCCTATTTTAAAGAAGGCCGCTTCGTTCTTAAACACGATAAACACCTGTTTTTTTAGTTATTTTTACTCTATGGTTATGTTGAGTATGAATGATTGGACTGATTGTTCTAGAATGGTTAACGCAAGCTAGCGCTGCGGCTTCTGTCAAATTCTATCTGCAGTCTGCGCAACTATAATTGCTTATTGCTATTACTTTACTGTGAAGTGTGAAGTCTGAGGAATATCAAGTGACAATTGTGTGTTAACAACGAGTGTTTCGAAGGGATTTATTGCTAAGTGATACAGTTTCTTTTATAAGTGCAGGAGATGCCTTTAAGAGGAAGAAGTTTCGTAAGTTGAATGTTAGAATGATATTTAACTTTTCAATTTTTGTGGTAATGTCGTGACTTGTGAGCTACATAGCTGTACCTCACGCCTGTACGTAACAATTGTCTCGTCCAGTGTTTGTGTTCCTAGATATGGACTGACTGTATTTATGTGCATTATTGACATATTAACCTAAATGTTAGGGGATATTCCGTGGTGTGACGATTGCATAGATGAGTTTCAGTTTTGCTTGCTTACAGTTGCAGCACATTTTTGGCGCTTCTCCAGATTTACTAGTATCCTTGACTGTGTAATAACTAATACATTAATTAACACTAAATTTTACTATGGGATGAAGGTGTCGTGAGGTCTGATTTGGTGGTTTTCCACAGGACGGTTGATGCGTGCCTGCTATAACACAAGTGTTCCCGAGTGCCTCCTAACAGCCTGCTTTTGAGGTCAGTTATTATTATGTTGTGTTTTTGTGTAGACATACCAATATTCATACTTTATTGGTCATACATTTATGAAGTGATTTCTATTTTTGAAGTTTTCCATTACTCAGAATATTGTGATATGATATTATATTAATTTATGCAATAGAATGTAGATGTGACTCAATTAAAAATTATTAATTTTAGTATACACCTATATTAATTGGAAAGCCAGTAAATTAAGCATAACAGATAACTCCAATAATTGCTGGAGTGCTATAATAAAAAGGTGTGGAGTATTACAATATCTCACATATAATAAAAAATGCCAATAGGGTTTTAGATAGTCAGAAAAATCCTTGAATATGACTCATGAAATATATGTATTAAAACATTTTTAGCAAAATAAAAGATAATAGATTTCTCAAACAGTTACACTGTTATATAAGAGCTAACTTAATTGTATTAAGAACAGTTTCATATTACATTTAATAAATTTAAAACCTAAATAAAAAACTTTGTTTTTACTACTTTAAATGTTGTTATATCTGTTACATTTTTTTAATAAGTAATGATTGAGTTAATGTTTTGGCTATAATACATTTTCATGTCTTTTTTTCACATTGTGTGACACTGATATTAAAAAAATTGTAAGCATAATAAAAGAGGGTACACACATTTTTTTAAACAGCTACCTATTTAGCATTGTTACTATTATATGGGAGATATTGATGGTAATACTTAGGTGATTGCTATTGCAAGTGTTTATAAGCACAGAAAAATACTTATCATGGTGTGGGCTCTGTACTTCTTTTATTTGAAATTATACCTACCTTGCTGCATACTTAGATGCTTGATTTGAACTGTGTTCTTTATTTTTATTTTACACATTTAGACTCATTATGCATATGTAGTTAGAAAGTATAGTTCAAACTTAAGTTTACTAAAAGTGAAAGTGTTGTCATATACAATTTTGGTAGAAAATAGAAGAGGAAAGTTTTTAAAGTTACAACATTTTAAATGTTCTAAAAATAATTTGATGTCTAGCTAAACACATTAATTACTAAAAAGGAGGGTTTTATTTATCAGTCTATAATATATTATAGAATAAATAAGATGTTAAGGTGTGCCATAACAATCTGCATGCTTATGTGAAAGGATGAATTGTCAGTATAATTTGAGTCTGTGTAGCATTTTGTAATGTGTTGTAATCTTAATAAAATATATATTATTTATGTATATAAGAAACATATTTAAAATAGTCTCCCTACCAGTATCTAAGAAGTTAGAATTTATTAGATGAAAATATCCTTAATTGTGAGAATATCCAGCTTTTGATGAAGTTTTCTTTTTATAGACCAGCATGAACAGACAATCAATCTTTTTTTCAGTCAAGTAGGAGCCTATTATTATTATTAGGTATTTAAAGGTACTAAAACTACCAGTTTTATAACAATAGTTTATGTGGTAGGGGAATCACTAAGTAATTTGAGAACACTTTAAAAAGGCTTTTGACCTTTGGCTCTCTTACGTCATAGGTCCTTAGTACTATGAAAAACAGATTACTACAGAAGCTATAAATATTCAGTTCCAATCAACTCTTAATCTCGCAACTGTCATAAAAGGTATTTAAAGTATTACTAAGAGTAGCAGATTACCGATTTAATTTACGCTTACAACATGAAATCACATTAAAGTCAACATTGGTTGTAAAATACTATACTACGAAAATACCTTTTAGACAGCTCGAGAGTTGATCAGAACTGAATTTTGATCGAACTTTTATTACGAGAATTGGTATTTACGACTTACCAGGTTAATTGATGGCTCTTGGTAATTAGTGCTAAAATCTGTACAACTACAGTATTATCCAGCATACGAAACCAGATTCTATACGTCGCACAATCTTGTGTGCCAAGTTTAAATAGTTTACGAGATTCTCGTAGGGAATAATGGTGTCGACAGTTATTGCGCGGCCTTCTAAACGACCTATCTTTTCTGTAATTTTCTAATGTTGTCATAAAATGGTGTTAGAAAGATACAAAAATGCAGAATATATTATGACGTATTCGGGACCAACTTTCGAAAAAGTAGCTTCGACTATAAGTTTAAATCTTTTCGTTTTGATCTGAAGTTTCATTAAATATTTTTCGCCATCGTTCCACACGGCAAAATTAAAAAAAAAACTCTTTTTGCCTCGCACAACCAATCTGTGGAACAAACTATCGACTGCAGTTTTTCCTTCAAACCTTCAAGAAAAGAGCGTAGGTATTACTTCCTCAAAGGTCGGGCAACGCACTTGTGACTCCTGAGTTGCAGGCGTTCATGGGGGCGGTAATCATTTTTCATCAGATGACCTGTCTGCTCGTTTGCCCCGTCTAATCATAAAAACAAATTGATTGATTGGTAATCCTAGCTCTTGTTGTAGCAATATTACTCAAAATTGAATTTTCATCCGAATTCTTTTCGGATGAAGATTCCATTTTGATTCTTCCAATACATTGACGGGCCTGTTGGTCTAGTGGTTAGTGACCCTGACTGCTAAGCCGGAGGTCGTGGGTTCGATTCCCACCCAGGACAAATATTGTGTGAGCACGGTCATTTGTTCTGTGTCTGGGTGTAATTTATCTATAATATGTATGTATTTAAAAATATATAAGTATGTTTATCAGCGGTCTGGTTACCATAGTACAGGCTCTGCCTAGTTTGGGATCAGACGGCCGTGTGTGAGATGTGTGAGATATATTATTATATTATTATTATTATTATAGTTATTCACCATGCCCAGTTCGTCTATAATTAACGTTTTTTAAATAATAATAATGTTTTCGGACATCTAACCCACCACGCTATCTAGTTTCAAAGTAAGCAGAGCAATAGAAAACACCCAAATTCCGAAACAAATATTTGCACATCATAATTTGGTCCGACCCGACAATCGAACCCGAGACCTCAGCACAGCAGTCGCATACGCTACAACTGCACCACCGAGGCAGTTACAAAAACAAAACCTGTGTTTTCCTATATTGAGTAACCAAACTGTTAAACAATAGCAACCCATTGCTCTTTATTTGCGGTTAATATAAATTGTCAATGCAATTAATTTTGCACTCAGTTCTCTAAAGTTAGATAAAAGTGCTGTACTATTTCATTAACCTCGACGTACAATTAACGACGTATGAATGTAATCTTAGTATTCAAAAACCAACCAAATGTACCCATGTACCCTTATTCCTAATGTACCCAGCCGTCGAAATAGTCTCGTTATCGTCGCCTGGGCCTACCACGTTGTCGCTTAACACTTTGTGGGACCCAAGTTGTGCTAATTTTTACCCATAGATTCGTCGGCATGCGGCAAATATGTCCGTCCCAGTCCCTCTTGAGTGCGGCGGCTTTATGAGCAACATCAACAGTAGGGAAGAATTACTTTTCATGAGGTCCTTCATCGACCAATAGCTCTTCCAGACGT